GGATTCATGAAATTTAAGATTTTGTATCAAATAGTAATAATAGAGCACAAGAACCTGAACTTTTCAAACCAGCACATCCCCATAGACAACTAACGAGACGCTGGACGAGAGGAGAGACAGTCTTTAGTAAATCTTTGAGATATTGAATATGACGCTTCCAGTTCATCTTATTGTCAAGAACAACCCCAAGATAGGTAAACTGTCAACGATGGTTTAAGAAGTAACTATCAAGTTCAAATATTTTATGTGCAAGAGAGAAGGTCTGAACTGCAGTTTAATCAAGATTAAAAACCATGTTATTAGTACTATACCAGTTTTTGAAAGTTTTAAGAGCACCACAAGAATCCGCTCAGTTACACTGTGCGCCCTTCTGCTTCGATTGCGTCCAAAAGACCAAATCATTCGCGAACTAAAGGTTGCGAATTATCCCAACTGAAATCAGGGCATCAGTTAAGTCATTTACGTATCTATTAAAAAGGATGCAACTTAGTCCAGATCTCTGAGGAAGACCAATCTGCAGCACAAAACTCCGAGATACTTTATTTCCAAAACGGACTTTGCAAAGACGTTGGCCAATAAAAAAGCAAATCCACCTCATTTTATATTAACTTCATACGCCTTTCATAACATACCCTGTCATACGTTGATCTAAAATCCATATAAAATATTTCCAAAATCAAGAGTCTCCTTCACAAAATGGACAACCTGAAAATGTGTCCATCGACCCTTACGAAATCCAGCCTGTTCGCACCTTAGTAAACTAAAATGCTCCAGATACCAATTTAACTTCGAATGAATCATCCTCTCCATCAACTTCCATCACATATGTTAGGGAAATAGGTTTATAACTTTACAAATACCTTGCATCTCTATCGTTTGTGAGAACTGGGATGATCAGCGCTTTCTTCCATTGTATGAGAATCACACCAGTCTCCCAAATATAATTATAAATATCCAAGCGTATCTGCTTTGCATAATCACCATCTTAATCTTAGGAAATTCAGTATGGATGTAGTCCACGCTTGAAGATTTTCTAATTTTAAGATATCTCAACGTGATCTCTAATTCATGCAATACAAAAGAGAGATGAAGACACCATCCTATCTCTTTTAGAGCGAGGAAAGTTAAAAATTTTTATTTTATAATGCTTAAGACATGCTACAAACAAAATCACTCTTTTTGGGGTTTTGATAAAATCCCATCCAAATGCTTTTGCGATAGATTCGTCAGATGTTAAATTGTTATTACCTACACACATGGGTTCTTTCTTAGGTGCAGCATATTTATTTTGTATTCTTGGAAAGTGCTTGTATAACTTCAAGCTATCTGTTTTATAGTTAATCCCTGAAATAACTTTATTAAATGCTTTCCACTTATACTAACATAAAGATTTTTTTTTTTAAGAACGCAGATTGTCTCCTCCAAAAAATTACTAATATTCTTTTTTTTATTTACACTTATTTTATTTAAGTTTTGAATTAGTTAACTGAAACACAAAATCATATGCTAAAATGCCGAACAAAATAACTGAATAGAATAAGCAACCGTCTTTACATTTCTAACCCGAGCATTATGTGGGTACAATTCAAATTCATTCACAGAGTAAACTTTATAATAAAATAGCCCGAAAATAAAAGTCTCGAATTTAACTTCTGATATTTATATAGAATGAAATATTACGTAAACTAAATAATAAATGTTTTTAGCTTTATGCAAACAGAAAAATACTCTTATCATCGATAAACCTGCTTTCAGAAGAATAAAAGATCTTTGAAGATTAATTTGCAATGACCAAACCAGGACAGAATTTACTAAAATTATAAGTATATCAGAAAAGTAAATGTTATGAATCTTGATATTATTTCCCTGTATGCCGATTCTGGCTGTAATATTATTTAAATTGTTTAATGCTATAAATCGTAAATTTTGTTTAATTTTTCTACATTGCATATATGTGTAAATGCCTTCACCATTACAAGTTTATTTATGGCTAACTTACAGTTTCTTGTATTTAACGCTATTTTTTCTAAGGAGTTATCTTGTGGTGTCATTAAGGTTTTTGATCATGGAGATTTGAAAAATGTGCAATGCCATCGCCGGAACTCGAAACCTGGACCTCTCGAATACGCTGTAAGTGTGTTACAGTTACACCACGAAGGCATGCTGGAAGGAGGGAGAAAGTACCTTATTTACTCCCCCTTGTTAAAGGGCGACTGGTTATTAGGGGATCCAGTCGCCAAATCCTGGTGGTGATGAATTATTGTCCACCACTTTTTTAGTTAAAGCATCACTGTCGAGTCATTTTTTTTTTTTTTTTTTTTTTATGCTGGAGACATGAAAAATGTGCAGTGCCCTCGCCAGGACTCAAACCCTGGACATCTTGAATACACGTCTATTATGTTTCCAGTTACACCACGAAGACATGCGGAAAGGAGGGAAAAAATGCCTTATACTTTTAATGCTGAACGAGCTGTTCACTTTGTTTAATTTCATTGTATATGGTCTGTATAGTTTACAGTTATTTTACGTTGTTTTTCCTGTTAAATATCTCACGTATCGATTATGTTAATTATTATTACACATATTTGCTGGCAGTGTCACAGTTGAGTGTTTTAGTCAGTAACTAATGACCCCACTTAGGAAAGACTATAGGTTGTTGCTTAGTAATATCAAACTGTTTCTTTAATCCCTACATATATATTTAGGCGAAGCAGGTCGATAAATATATATACATATAGAAGCCACTTAACATATTACGTTGTTCAAAATCATGTAAATAAAGAAACATTTATGCATATACAGATGGAATATACAGTGAGATGTGACGAATATGAAGATGTTTTCAATACAGTGCAGCTTAAAAAAGAAAAAGACAGTTTACAGTTTGTATCATTGCTTTATTGGAGAGTGAGAGGAAAAATTGCAGATTTTGCAGCAAGTACACATTCTTACAATATGGACAAGAATTTCCTCGGAGCAACATTTCAGTGTGAATACTTCATGATACTGAATACGTGATAAGTTCTGACACAGTAGGAGAAAATAAATTACATTTAATAGAATTTTAAGTTGGAATGACAAACTATTTTGGCAGTGAGAAACTTACTCCCATATCTTTCGAAAGAATTTAAAATTCAATATTAAAATATTCCGCGAATCAGTTTAGTTACAGAACAAAATTGGCTTCTAGAAAAGAGAAACCATCTTTTTAAAATCTATTACACTTTTATATTTTAATTAATATCAAAAGTTGAATTTTGAAAAAAAGTTCAATTAAAAAAAGTTGAATTTTGAATTTAAAAAAAAGTTAAATTTTGAAAAATTTTTCATGTTTTCTAGGATAGTTGCACATGCAAATAAACAAAAACAAAAAAAAAAAAAAAAAAACAAAAAAAAAAAAAAAAAAAAAAAAAAAAAAAGACTTGGCTGTTAGTAAACACAGTCAGATTCATAATATGTTGGTTTTAATTGCAGATTTACATACTTATTCAGAAAATTATAGTTTAATATTCTCGCAAAAAAATTATGAATTCCACATTCCCGTTTCTCCAAAGATTATTCGTGAAAATTTTGAATTTACGCTTCCTTTTTTTCTTTTCACATATGACTAGATTTTTATGTTTTTCAAAGTCATAAACCTTAATTTGAAAATTTATTAAATTTACATTATTTTGCGAGAAATGAGCCAAAAAATTATCTAGATTATTAATTCATTCGGAAATATTCAGATTTTATATCATAATATTTCCATTTAAAATTATTGCAAACTTCATAGTTTGTTATTCCATTTCGGTCAAATTATTGTTCTATGTTTTAAGTTAGAGTAATGTAAACATAAATTCATTTTGACAAATTCTTCCTTTGATGATCATATAATAACTATGTAAAATTCATTTGAAGAAGTTTTGGAATACAGGTCAAAAGTTCAAGACAGCAGAAAACATACACATCTGATTAGTTGTATTTATTCAATTAAAAAAATTGTAACTGTTATACGAAATCATTTCTTACGCATAATGCATACATGTATGCGTGTACTACGTTTTGTTACCCGTATTTTTATTAGGCTAATAAATTTGAAATATCCATATGTAGGTCCTATATACTTTTTCACTAGCAAATTTCTTTATGATGCACTTGCATAAATCTAATTTAGAGTGTAATTATTATAAAAAAACTAAAATTTAAAATGAAAAATTTTTAAATAATTATTTTGAATTTCTGCAGTTTATTCGAGAAGGAATTTAAAAATTACACAAAATATTATTTATAGGTTTAAATCCGTTAAAAATACATATATATGTAGCATATAAATACTTATCAAATATTTATTTAGCTGAAAAAAATCAGCAATTTTCATTTTTTTATTTTGTTTTAATTTTTATTTTTTATTTATTTATTTTTAACATTCAGTTCTTTATATTTCGATACATGGCCTTCAATATTTGCCAAGAATTTTAATTTCCTTTTAGAAGTTAGCACGTTATATTCCCACCATATGGTCATAACCCAAAAGGCATAAAAAAACAATTACTAACTAGAGTTTAATCTCGAGTTTTCGTGATTATTATTAACAGCGTTCTTATTTAATTTAATTTTCTTCCTAAATAAACTAATATTATGCTGTCTGTTAGTACAGAGCACTAAATACTTCTCTTGCACTGGAAATGGAAATGTTATTAACATATTTTAAAAAATCTTGTTAAAAATGCAATGAATTACAGAAAGACTGCATAACCGGGAGTCTATTGTAAACTATTTTTTTTAAATAAATTATTTTCAAAAAAGTTCCATTCAAGCAGTTAATAAGTGAAATCCAAAAAATATTTAATTTAAATATTTTTGCGCAAAGGGGCGTTAACGCAGAAGGGCTATTATTCTCCAAAAGGAATCACTTCAATGCGATGTATCGCTTTTCAGATTGTTGCTATCAAATATTATCGCCCTGTAGTGTATTTAAAGAAACTAAATAATGAAGAATCTGCATGAATGTATGTATGTTTCTTGCATTGTGAGGAAAAAAAAAAAAAAAAAAACGTTATCTAGAGTCATCATATTTTAAATAACATAATCCTGCACTCAAACATGGGCACCTCTAAGCCCGAATTTGGAATTTATTTTATTGTCTATTTCCTATTTTTTTAAAGTTTTAACGAATTTTTGATTAAAAAGCTCACTAATTTCAAAGCGAGCAGTGGCAAAAGTGTAGGAAGTAAAATATTTTTAGCTCCACTGCACGAGACTGTCTATCTGAAACTCTAAAGATATGCTGTTTTAAAATATTTTTAGACTAAAATGGCGATAGCCCAAGTTCTCTAGAAATATAAATGTGTGTATAAATGAAAAAAAAAAAAAAAAAAAAAAAAGTGCCCCTTTGGGCATAATATAAAATCTAAAAGCTTTCAGACTTTTTTTGGGGGGGGGGGTAATTTTCTCTGTTAGGAACTTGACAGGTAAGTAGTTAATTAAATCTTCAGATTCAGATCCAAAATTAAATCTTCAGAACCCAAAAAATATTATTCCTTAAGCTATTAAAGACAAGGCAGGTAATCAATAACATTGTAATAACAATTTTATCTTTCCAATCACTCAATCTCCTGCTTAAATTTTAGTGTATTACATAAAATTATTTGAAGCTGCGTATTACATAAAATTCAAATAATTTTATGTAATACGCAGCTTATTACAATTCAGGCGAAGATTTAAACTTCAAATTTGTCGTTCGAGAATTTAAAATCTTATAAATAATATATTTACCCCTTTTCACAACATACTACAGATCAACGTATTTTTTATCATCTGCTCATTATTCATACTGCAGAAAATAAATACAGGCATACATGTACACATACATTCACTTTTTTGACTGAAAAGGTACTTATTGCATATATTTTGGAGAAGTAAAGATCGTTAGAGTAAAATATACCCGTAAATAATTACATAAAAATTGTACAATAGCTAAAACACACAATTTTAAAATGATTGGAATTCATTAAATTGCAAATCATAGTAAATTAATTTTAGAATGTAACTGAATGCATAGTTTTTAATTTCTAGAATTTTTAATATAAATTATTAATTTTTGCTATTTAGAAACTTTAATAAATAATTAAATATTTTTGTTTAGTTTTAAAGAAAAGTTCAGTTTCTACATGTGTTTAATAACAAGGTCTAATCAGGTTTATGGTTTTGATCTTACTGCAGAAGGAAAAAAGAAACTGTTGTACTTATTCTAACATGAATGACGTTAGAAGACATTTAAATATTGTTGATGGCATTGTAGAAAATCATACTTCGATATTCTATCTGTACGTACACATGAATGAAACATAAATATGTAAGTATAAACATTTCTTTGATTTGAAACGACACAAAATAATAAATTAAATTATAAAACTCAAATATTTACAAGTCATGGAATAAAATTCTACATTTCATTTTGTTAATGAGTAGATACTATGTCTTGGTAATCAAGTCCTTTTTTTATTGCTGGTCGCAATGAAAGCCTGCTTCTATGAGACCAAATAATTTTGTGCTCAAATCTTCACTCGTAGCATATTTACGTGATCATCAGAGTGATTGTACACAAACAAGTCCGATGCTGAATGCAAACAAACTGTGACATGGTTATAGGTTTGATGGGATAACGTTTCTTGAACGATTAATATTAAAACTTTTCAAGTTTTACTATGCATCATGTCCAGAATGAAATATCTACGACAGAGTTAAGTCAGTATAAGAACAACTAATCTTGAAACAAAATTGATGCCAGCATCATCAACAGGGTATTTCAAGTACAGTTACTGATGTGAGAATCAAATTATAACAGCCTACCAGATGCGGAAGTTCGAGAAAAAAATGCTTGAGCTAATCAATAGGGAACATAAAAATAAAGTACTAGGCAAATAAATGTGCTATGAATGAACTACATACATTTGGAGATCACTGTAAATTAATTTAACATTTATGAAACATGTCCTTCATTTAGATCTGTAGTGAAGGGAGATTTCCCTGACGGAAGCACATTTGGAAATTCCGTCATCAGGTGAACCAGGCTCACTGGATATCGATTCTTGTGCGGACCGCTGAGACAGGTAAGAATCATGAGAAGAAGCGTTAGACAGTGGAGGTGATCCTATTACGTCACTATAAGACGGCATTTTAAGACCGTTATGAAAATTTCTCCTCGCATTTTCCATGTTTGGATGAAGAGCTGGCACATTGATTGGGAGACTTATGGGAGGAGACGTAGAGTCATTATCACTGAGATCTGTCATTGGATATTCATAATGATGTCCATCAAGGCTATCAAAGAATACTGCGTTGGGTTGACAGGATGTAGTTTTCCAGTGAGTTCGAAGACCAGAAGCACTGATGTATTTCTTGTTGCAAGTCTGACAGGTATACGGCCGCTCGTTCGTATGTAGTCTCTTATGGAGTTTTAAATGAACAAACTGAGTGAATTTTGCCGGGCAGAGATCGCATGCATACGGTTTCTGTCCACTGTGCAAACGTAGGTGGGTTTTTAAATTGCTTGTGCTGCTGAACCTTTTTTTGCAAACATCGCACTGATGTGGCTTCTCACCCGTATGTACTAAGTGATGCTTCTGTAAATGCGCCAGTTGAGTGAAGCTCTTTGCGCACACGTTGCACTTGAAAGGTCGCTCGCCAGAATGTGTCCTTAAATGAACTTTAAGGTTAGACAACTGTCCAAATGTCTTCGAGCAGACATTACATTCATAATGCATTTTACCATCTTTTTTCTTTAAAGGATAGGGTAGCGAACGATAACCTCGTCCATGGGAACCAGGAGAATGAGGTCGCATGGGATGCAACCTATCAGAACCAGGTGGTGAATGCATATTTGTGTTTAAGAAGTTATTCTTCGCAACTTCCAGATGACCAGCAGAATGATTCATCAAGTTCATGTGATGGTGAGCGTTGGAATGATGAGAAAGATTCAGTTGTTTGGCATATTCCGATAGTGGTGGTGCATGAAATGGCCCTCCGTTACGTAACGGCAGTGGAGCGGGCATTCGTTCTTGTATTGAATATGTGTACATATTGAAGTGAGCAGGAGAAAATATCGGAGCAGCCGTATTGCTGTAAAGGAAGTTGTTTGTCGTGCTGTGAAGAAGGTAAGGATTTGGAGGACTGCTGGGAGCATGGCTTTTGTCTGTGGAATCTGGACTATGCATTTCGTGATTCTGACTGCTTGAAGTGACGAAATGTACCCCATTTTTGTGCGCGTATATATTTTTAACATTCTGAGATGAAGAGTCTGGGTTTTCGTTACAGACGTTAGGGACAATAACTCGAACCGGCTCCTTCAAGGTTTCTCGATGGAATTCTTGCAGTGTTCGTATTGAAGAATTTTCTTTCTTACACGCCGTCAAATATTGCGCTAAAATACCTGAAGGTAAAGGTCGTGTATATTCCTCATTCAATTTTGAAACTGTCCCTTCGTAATACATGAAAGCAGATTCCCTCCTATTGATATCATCATCCGGAAACTTAGGACTGCTTGCACATTTGGGGCTGCTAGGATGTGGGGCAACATACTGGCTGTCGATTTCCATTGCTTTTACGCTTGTGCTTATTTCTTGAAACTCTTCCTCCTTGCTTGATTTATCATCCACTTCCAACTTCTCTTCTTCCTCAGGATCTTCAACGATAGTAAGCTTACCATCGTATTCATTGTCATCAATCTTCTCCGAAACGTTGATGTTTCTACAGTTATAAGCCCTGGCGATTTTTATTTTTAACTTATGAAAATCGTTCCTACCGTGCATATTTTCATCTTCCTCTTTTTCTTCAACTTTTGACAGTTTATCATTTTCGTTTTCAGAGTTTTTCGCGGATTCTGGAATCTCGGTGGTCTTTGCTGCTTTCCCTTTGACGCTGAAATCCAGAGCGAAGCTTTCACTCTCACTATCACTGCTATCTTCCGGTGGGGTGAGAATATCAACATGTTGGTGGGATTCATAATGTTTCTTGAAGTTTATCGTTGGATGTCCAAAAGGTTCTGCCGGTGGGGTTAATTGATTACCTGAAAGAAACAACGAAAAAAATCTATTTAATCAAAATGCATTTTTAACAAAGATAACAGTTTAGATAACAAATACGTTAAGTATTTTCAAGCTTTTAAGTTAAGTTTTATATAACAGAGCGAAAGATATTTTCAACAGTTTCATTTTATAAAAGGTAAAAGATGACCAATTATGAAACAATATTCATTTTAAAAGACAACTTTATTCAATTTTAGAGATCAAGCTTTCGAAATAGCTGTTCAAAGATTTTCTGCAAAATGCAGCTAAAATTACAAATGATTAGGATGTCAGTAAATTTAATGGGAATAAAAATTAGGTTGATTTTAGTTTACATATGTCTGCATATATACATCAGACATGGTCATTAGATTTGTTTTCGCCGTATATAAGCATATTTTATCACTTTCGATTTCTATTTTCATTGAAAAAACGCTATAAATGCAACTATTTTACTTTTTGTAAGAAGTAAAGGAAGTATTGTATTCGCAAAAAATTTCGGATATCACATTTCAACCGAAATATCCATTTCGACTATTCCCGAATTCATGTGAACTTTTTTTCGCGTGACGAACTGTACGTAAGAGCAGAATAAAGGACTCTTTTCCCCTATGATGGATTTAAAGTGGATTCAAAACGGATTTTTTCATGACGTCTATATGTATGTATGCATTCATGCATGTATGTATGTACGTATTTCGCATAACTCAAAAGCGATTAACCTTAGAATGTTGAAATTTTGTACACGGGACTGTAATAACATATGGTTGTTCACCTCCCTTTTTTATTGCAAGTGGCTGAACCAAACGTATATATATATACGTATATACACGCATGCACAGTTTTATCCAGCTTAGAATTCCTTACCGGGTATTTATTTTCGCAATTGTCTGTCGTAGTTACATACTTCCAGTTACAGAATTCTTTTAAATGACGGAATTTTGTAACGTCATAAATCTGTTAACCAGCTGTTAAGAAAACTTAATTATGAAACTTTTGTCCCTGAATGTTATTAGAGACAGAAGGGGAGATAAATGTGTCGAAAGAATTTATTTTTTTTTACTTGACACTCCATACTGATTAGCCTTGCAAATGGCTGAAACGAAGTGTTAATAATATTAAAGCTCTTGTTCGAAACAATTCTAACTGAAGAGAAACAACTGAATAACAAAAAACGAAAGCTTCACTACAAATGTTGCCAACCCAATGAACAACGGCATGGACACATTTATCGACCCAATCAGAGCGAATTACTAGAATTCAATAATTTTATCTGCTCAGTTATATGCGAATCCAAACTTCAAATATGTGCATGGAGAAATTCATTAAGAGAAGAGAAGATCAAATACAAATCTTCATTTCCTGTTATTGATTCTCATTGTGAATGTTCATCTTTCGTATTTCAATCGGTAACACCAGCCACAAAACTAATACAGAAACCTGCTTGACTTCTCGCAATAAAGACAATTAAATTGATTTTTTCTTGCAAGATCTGAAAAGAATCTATGTTATTTAATTTAATAAATATAGGTCTGATGACTCTAAATTAGATCCAGTTGTCTAAAATACGAAAGTAAGGACTTAGGTTTAACAATGTACAGAAAAAGAGTAGCAAATGATCGGGTATCACTGGTCTACGTAAAAAATAAGTAAGAAGGAAAGATAAATTCATTTCTTCTCTCTCCCCACAGAATAAATAATGAAATCAATGTATTTCATCACAGTAAAAATATCTCTGAATCATCAGAAGAATGAATTTTATGATAGCAAAAAAGTTAAGCTACATGTTAAAGAAAACACCGCAGACTACTTACGTATTCCATTGTCAATTTCTATGGCTGCTTGCAGACGCATGGCATATTCTTTGCAATACCATACTAGAAGTTCTTGATTAGGTAGGATTGGTTTAAAGGTGTAGAAATAGATCTCCTCTTTGACTTGACAAGCAACTAAGTTTTGCTCCGAGAGTTGGTAAGCTGGACTCACATGGCGCATCCAGTTAGACTTGTGGACGTCAAAGCCATCCACATAGTAATATTCGTGATCATTTTTGTATACCTGAAATTGAGAAGGATTTTTGTTAAGAACATAGTTGATAACATTTTTGAAGGCAAAGTTCAAATTCATCCTCAAGTAATTGTAGTCATTTAAGCTTACGTTCTAATGAAGGTAGCGATTTAGAGAACTTACCCTCCAGAAGTATTTCTTGTTTGTAACGTGGTTAACCTCTGATACATGATAGCAGTCGCCATCCATTGGTCCGAAACGGGTGCCCTTTGGAATGTAATCGGTCGCCCAAACTCCCAAAGCCTATAAAGTAAAGTAAATGTATAGTGAGCAGCAGTTAGAGTTTGAAAAACGAAATAATTTAAGTCACTCCAAAGGAGTACTCACAAGAAGGATAAACAATACTTAAAACAGGAGATAAGAAAAATTGAAAGCTTTCAGATGTTACATTACGCCCAAAGGGACGTTTCTTTAACGTTTTGTGTGTTACCTTTATTTATTAAATATCACGTGCTTTGCACTTAACCATAAAATCCAATTCAACAGCAATATCGCAAAATAATTGTGAAATCAGCAAAGCTTTAGAATTTCCGATACACACTCTCGCGCGCTGGAAATATTTTTTTTTCTTTTTTTCCCTGTACAGTGTTGCCATTGCTCGCTTTAAAATCATTGAGTTTCTTAATAAAAAATTCTTTAAACTTTTACAAAATATGAAATAGACAATAAAACAAATTCCAAATTTGGACTTCTAGATGACCATATTCGGTAGAAGATTACGTTATTCAAAATTTGATGGCTCTAGGTACAGGTTGTTTTATCACAATGAGAAAAAAATACATACATTTACGGAGATTCTTCATTATTTAATTTCTTTAAATATAACACAGGACGATAATATTTGGTGGCAACAATTTAAAAAAGTGAACTGACATTTATAGTGAACCAACGCAAATGCCAAAATGAAATTAATAGTCCTTCAGGGCAAATTTCTCCTTTGGACTAAAAATCTTAGGCAGAAATTCTAAGAATAAAATAGCATTCAGGTTATAAAAAGCTTTTGGGATAAAGGTCAAGGAAATTTTCAAAGGCTTAGGCAATGTTCGACGTATGTATTATACACATCCAGTGTGAATCCTTAAATTAGCTAAGCAAGATCTGTAATTAGAGATTAATTTCCACCGATTTTTTTCTTAACCAGAGTGAGGATTAATTAACTGGCTCCTGATTCTAAACATTTTAATTTCGCTTTTGCAAAACCATTCTTGCCATTGTAAACGGCAGTTTCATAAGACCTTTTATCGCTCAAACGGAAATGAAAAGTAAAAGACGATGGGAATAACGAAAACCAATGAAAGGCGTCTGAAAATAGACTTAGTAACCTACATAACCAAATGTTGAAGATATTTTCTTCTTATCTTATTAATACCAACTTGTCGATCAGAAGCAGAAAAGGATAGCATACGTGTAGATAAGTTTAGAAAGAAGTTTTGAAGGACAAACAACAGCAGGAATACAGCGAGTGTGAGGAGGAAGGGGGTGAGAGAGCGATAGAATTTCGCTAGCTCTGTGTCAGCTCTCGATGATAACTCTTTCAAAGTCATTGACTTCGCATGGCCTTAATGATTAGGCGAGAAAATTTCAAGGTTAGATTAAAATGTCTGGTTTTTAATAGTTACGACTTTTAACAATAAAGAAATTCGGAAGTTAAATATTACGCTTGATGGCTAATGGAATAAAAAGACGGATGAAATTTACGTGAATAAAAGAGGGCCGTCTTTTGATGAAACTTCAAAACTGGTTTACTTGATTCCCACCACTTAACCCACCTCCAAAAATTATTGGTTATAGAACGTGCTTTAAAAAAATTAATTACGAAATTCTTATTCTTTATAATAAATGAACAGACATTTTCAACTGGGGAGAGGGAGAGTTTAGCCTAGCTATTGTGAAACGAATCTGTTAAATCCTGTGGAGAATTAAAATCTTGTGAAAACTTAATTTTGGCGATAAGATTTATATTTTGTGCCTAAAACTTGTTTCAGATTACAGCCAGGTACGGATCGTAAAATTCAGCTGCCAATGGTTAGGTTAGGTTAGGTTAATTAATTAAAGCAAATCAACTCCAGGACAACTCCAGGCCTATGCCGAGGGATGCCTTCGTGAAGGACTTTTTAAGGGAAACTGGCTCGTATGCACGTTACTCGTTCAGCTGCCTGGGGAAAAACGGCGATAAACAGTTAGAAATGTAAAAAATATTTTTATATTCGATTTAGAAGAATCCGAAGAATCATACTGAAAGCTTGTGTTTGTATGTGCGCCAGTTTCTTAGCTTCTAAGGGATAAGTCAAATGGTGCTCCTTTCACACCAGTCGTGACATGTCCGTTACAAAATGAAATTCTAATATACGTAGCAAAGAGAATTCAAAGTGTTACGAAGTTTATTTGCGACATTTTTTGCCCTTGGCAGCACCATGAACAAAAATAAATGAATAAATAAATAAAATAAAAAGCATATTGCCTGATATTAAAAATCGAATAAACTTCTTATTCATATTTTTGCCATGAACTTCTGCCCATGCGCAGACAGGTCGCTGGCATGTGCCACTATCTTCGAAGCGGTCATAATCTTAAAGGTCAGTTGTCCCGATCATCATCTCCCTCGTAAACCAAGATAATAGAGCTGCGATAGGGAATACGGGCCGGGAGGGGAATATTATGTAAAAGTGGATTTCATTCCTTTATTTTTATTTATTTTTCCCCTTTTCCTTCGGAAACGGAGAAATACTACGAGTTTCAAATTATGTCATATAATACCCGGGGATTAGAGAGTACACAGTTTAACCATCTCTGCTAGTTAATTACACAACAAAGCAAAGATGTACCAAGATCAAAATTTATGATATTTCGAATCAGTTTACCATAATCAATGCTCTAGTAACCCCAATATAATCTAAAATTTTGCGCAACTCCTGCATAGTGAGAGCAGTATGTTAGATTTAAAACGATAAGTAATATGCCAATCTTTTTACTAACAGTAAGCTTATTAAAAAGTTCACTTCATGAGCGGAAGACGAAGAAATCGAAGACTTCAGAAAAATGGTATAATACAGACTTTTCAAGTACAATATTAGTTTGTTTACATCGTAGTTTTTCAAATACAATATTCGTTAGCAGCTTTTGTTTTTACAAGAACCATTAGCTTCTACAGAATTTATGATAACTTTTAGCATTTCTTTGAAGCAAAAAGGAAGAAAAACAGAAAGAAAGGAAAAGGTATCATTTGATATTTTAAGCGTTAAGACAATCCTTAAATCTAACTATCTAACTCCTGTCATCGTATATTAGATGGAAAATTTACGTCATAACTTCGAGTGCGTTGTAAACGTATTCTTAATTACAAAATTAACAATACACAACATTAAACTATTAAGATAAGTAATTAAGATAATTAAGATAGTAAATAAAAGTTACATAGTATATAAAATTAACATGTAGAATTTGCAATTAGGGCAATTTAGAAATTCATGAAATAAGTTACCAATAAGCTTGGAAAAGAGTTTATTGATTCGAGTTACTTAATAAACCTACTTTTAATCAAAGAAACTATAGATTAAAAATATATTACGATTAAAAAAAATAAAACTCCGTTATAGTGCATCTCTTATATTTTTAAACACCATAATAAGCAAATAATGTGCGAGAAATTTAAAGCATATCAAATCCAAATCGAAATCCTTCTTTTCCATTAATTTTCCTTCAATAAGAAAGCAGACATATTTCTTGTGATATTTATACAACAGCTATATATTTAAAATCATCATCTAATTCTACAGCACTATAAAATTCAGGGAATATATTACCCAAGAATTGACAATAAATAATAAATCCTCACTCTTTTAAAAATATAGTACAATGTTTTAAGAGCTGTGATATTTACAACAGTTAATAGGCTCACTTTAACCTGACAACTTCAGATTGGAGCAAACGATGGCAGCGTTAGCTTCCTTACATTTTTTTTTTATTAAGCAGGGTCATTAGGTTTTCCGAAACAGAAGACTTGAAAAATGTGAAATGCTCTCGCCGGGATTCGAACTCCAGACCTTCCGATTACTAATTGGACGTGCTTTCCACTTAGGCCACCAAAGTATGAGCGAATGAAGAAGAAAATACCTTATATTCACCCGCACTTGAAAAGCATCTGGGAAGGAAGGGACCCAATCGTCCACCTCCTTTTAGTTTGGAAGACACACAGTTTTTCGTGTGTTGCTGTGATTTATCTCACTTGTCTGACAGTAACATTAGAACAAGCCCACGAAATTCATTGTGGCAAGGAGAGCACGTTTCCGTCTGTCGTTGGCAACAGTCTTGAGCACCATGCAAGTGACAGACCGACGACTAGTTCCGTCCCCAATTTTGATGGGAAGGACGCCAGGAATGCGGACCCGAGGGTCTTCCACTTCTCCTACCATGAACCTCTGGCGAGGAATTCCGCTAGCCACATATTTAGAGTGGCCCCATGCAGCACAGACACTATACATTTACAAACATCCATGTGTTCTTCGGACGTTACCTCCTATGAAGGAACAGGCTATTTTACATCCATGCCTTCTCCGGGATTCGAACCCGGGCCCTTTGGTATCGCAATCAGGCTCCCCTAACCACTACACCGTCTGGGCGGCCGTTCTAAATAAATTAATAGTTTTAAATTAAGGTGCTCAAGAGTCAAAATAAAGTAAATTATGTTTGAACGCTGAATACTAACCAAACACTGAAAGAGTCAAGATAGACTAATTTGCAAGAATTTTTTCATTCTCACTACTCAGTCATAACAAAAATATACCAATCCGAGCTGCTTTACCAAGGTATTTTCAAAACTGAAGTCACTGAATTTTTTCCAGCCTTAAGTCACTCATAATCCCATTCTCTGTCGACTTCACGACTGTAAGTTCACGTAAACGACTATGAATGATAAACTGTGTATTGTTATTTACAAATTTCTGCTCATTTCATTTTTATCCTATTCGTAAAGACTGGAGTTTATAGTTTTTCGGGGTTACAAGTCGTTTTTAGTTTCAGTTAGTTTATTCACATTCTTTTCATAAGATTTCAAAAAGTCAATTTGTAGGAGATAGAACTGAATCATTTTGTGCTTCGCTTCTTGGGAAAATGTTCGCTTATCAGTAGGAGGAGGAGCAGTGTTTGAAATCATGTGCGCATCCTTTAAACTAGGCGATGAGTGGCCTTGGCCTTGACTTCATACGGTGTATTTTTATTCCTGTTGTCTCAAAGACAACCATGATCCATTAGCGATTGAAAAAACTCGAGTAGGAGAGAAAGATATTGTTGAAACGCCGTTGCGTTGAACGAATTTCGATAATAAACTAGTTTAATAATTTAACACGTTTCATGAGAGGAAAGGTTAAAATGGAACTGATGAAACAGGCGGAATATGGATGAAGAGAGTTGCTAAGAGTCGCAGCAGCTCTCGAATACCACTAATTCAACTAAAAAATTTTTGTATGTATGTAAAAGAATTTCAGATTTAACATGGACATTAGGTATTTCAGATTTTAACTGAAGATACTGGTCTAAATATAATTAATTTCTTCACATTTGCTTTTTGATTTAATTTATGTTAAAAATATATTTTTTATGCCCTATTTTATCGGTTATTTTATCCATTTATTCTATCTAACTATAATTTCCTTGACCATTTTATGCCCCCTTTTTTCTTCCAGTTATCCTTTTGTTTAGAACTTTACGTTTGTATATCGTTTGCTTTCTTTAGATTTATTTATTAAGAATATCTTTAAAACTCAATAAAAATATTTATAAAGAAATTAAACGGAAAATATGTCACTTTAAACCAATGGTTCTCAACCTTGTTTTGCCCTTTGCACCCTCTTCACCGTTACTAGACGATTATCTCCCTCTCCTTTCCAAAATTTGAAATACATATATATACATTTATTCAAATTCAGATTTCTTTTAATGTATTTTAAAAATTTAAGAAGAAAAAGCATAGAAAATGTTGATAAATATCAAAACTTGAATAAAAGTGGTTCTCCATAAATAAAAGTTAAATAACAGGCTGACTGCATCCTCCCTGAAACAATGAAATTCTCCCCCCCTGGGGGGAATTCACACCATGGGCGAGAACCACTGCTTTGAACTATTACAAGAAGCTATGTCCTATTAATCCACCCTGTGAATCAAGGACTTATATACAAATTCAGGAATTTTTAGACGAATTTAGGAATCAATTTATAAAGTATTTTCTCCCTCCGTTCCTCCAGAATGCCTTCGTGGTTAACTGGAAGCATATTCGACGCGTATGCGAGACGTCCAGTGTTCTAGTCCCGGCGAGGGCACTGTACATTTTTCACATATCCAAAATCCAAATGACTCTACAAATGGCCCCGAACTAAAAGGTGGTAGTCGATAATTCGTCGCCACCAGGATTTGGTAATTGGATACCCTAATTCCCAGTTGCCCTTTAAAAAAGAAGAGGACATAAGGTATTTTCTCCCTCCTTCCAGCTTGCCTTCGTGGTGTAACGGTAGCACACTCGGCGCGTATTTCGAGAGGTCCAGGTTCGAGTCCCACCGAGGGCACTGAACATTTTTTCAAATCTGCTGCTTCAAAATAACCAAATGACTCTACAGATTTATGGAAAATTTACTAAATTCTGATTGCACACTCACAGACTATCAAATTCAATTCAATATGCAGGTTTCACGTCTGCTATTGCTTGCGAACATATTAAAAATGATTAACTACATAATTAAACTATGAATAAATTTATTTTGCAATATGTCTGACCCATGAAATATGTTTGCTGAATTAATAGTCGTATATTTTTTCCATTCATCGATGCATTCAATGACGCGAAAAAAATCACTTTGCGAGGCAAGTAATTTGAATCTCATAATCCAACATGTTTGGTAACTGGCAAAGTTAAAGTTCCGAACATGCCGGGTTATTAGACTTTTGCTAATACATAGCACAAAATAAAACACGTGCTTCTTCGTGCTATGCATTATATTATTATTTCAGAAATATATAACATAAACTGATTGCATAGTTTACCAACTTACCCCGTGGTTTGACTTAGAAGGCTTGAGGGTAAGGTTCCTCGGCAGCGACGCTTCCGACTTGTTGCGAGTGTCATCTCTGTCCACCTGCTGATCGGGCACACGGTAGATCGCCAACTGGTCGAACTCCTCTTCCCGAATCTCATCGAGGTTCCAACAACCATCTTCCATTCTACGATTCTGAAACAAATTAATAGAAATTAATGGCAATCTAAATGGAAAATTTATTTTCAACGGAATCTAACACAACCAGTTTGCACCTGAGAAAAGATTACTCAGGTTATTCTTTTAATTATTTATTGCATCAGGTTAAGAATTCCAAATAGTTAAACATTTCAGCAAATAACAGAATGAAACAAATAGAATGTTGTAAGGATAAAAATAAGTTTTGAAAAATTCACGTCAATTAATTAATATTCGAAATGGTACAAATCGTATCTCCAAAATGCGATAAATATTTGCATTCTTAATCATTTTGCTAAAAGTATAAAAGCTTTTAAATTTATTATTTGCATTTTGTGCCACTTAATAACTAGCCAAGAAGATATTGTTACCATTATGGAAAATACAATCAATGCTAACATCAATTACTGCTATTATGAAAAATACAACCAATACTAAAACCAATGGCTACTCTTATGGAAAATACAACCAATGCTAAAATCAGTGGCTACTGTTATGGAAAGTACAACCAATGCTAAAACCATTTACTACTCTTATGGAAAATATAACTACTGCTAAAAAATATAACCAATGCCTTATAATAAAAGTAAAGTTTACTTTGAAAGAAAAATACTTTTAAAGTTTTTCATAAGGAAAACCGAATTTAATTTAGAAATAAATGCTTAATAACAGCAAGATGACAAAATTTTCTATTATATGCTTATATTAATTTATTTCTATTGCATATTACATGAAACAACATTGAGCATTTTAAAAAATAATATAAATCAGGCTTCTGTGATATGTCAATACTAGAATTTTCGTCTCTTTTCTCTTTAATACAATGGCGAAGTATTTTGCAAAAGAATTATTTAAAAAAAAAAAAAAAAAACTTTAAACCAAGTATTTCAAATAATGCTCTTAAATATTATTAAATAATTTAATATTTACTGAATAGTAATTTTCACTAAGAATTCCGAACATCTCTTTGTGTTAATTATAGGAATTATAGGAACATTATAGGAAAACGACAGTTTTAATTAAGAAATCAATTTAATTTCCGTGGAAGAATTTAATATTTACCTCGTTCACGACAGTACTTTCGATAAATAAGTACTCTCCCGTCAGAAATAATAAATAGGTACTTCATTCCCACCGAACTAATCATTGCACTAAAAGTAATAACTCATGTTTACCTCATGTTTTGAAGACGCGGAGACTACTGGCATGTCTCGATTACTCTCAGCGACTTCGGTGGATGAGCGAAAAGGAAAAATTTTTATCTTAGGAAAATTGTTATAGTTTCGACCGCCCGTGGCGCTACGGTTCCGGAGAAAAGTACTACCGCGCAAGAGAAAAAGCATTATTCCTCTCCTCCATCTTGGATTCACCTGAAGATTGATAAAAGTGATAGACAGGATAGTGGAAAATAAGGCGGAGACTCCTGTGACGTCACGGGGCGGAGTTCGGATGAGGAGAAGAAAGGGATTCGAGAGAGAACTCCTCTGCGGAATTTCGGGAGTGAACCATTTCTGGGAAATTGATTAATAAGGAAGAGGGTGGGATTTATCCCCTTTATACCAAATAAAATATTCCAGGTTTTAGTGGTTTTCCGCCTAAAAAACTTTAGTTAACCAAATCAGAAGTCCCAGACTGCAAATTATAATTAAAAAAAGTCGCAAATTTGAAATAAATCCTTTGACAGAACAGTCCTTTTCAGCTACAAAATTTATGGAAGATAAACGAAAATAAGATGTATTAGTAATAATAGTAAACATAAAATAATAAATTATTTTGGAGTCATATAATTTTAAAGCATAAAAATATTCTATTACACCATTACTTTATAATTATAAAATATATACATTATTAAGAACATACATACAATAGTATGAAATAAAAATTTTTGGAAATTACTCGAAAGCTGATTTATATATTTTTATTTACGGATGTTTCGAATTAAAACACACAATTGCTCGTCCAGTGAAACAAGAAGCATTTTAAAAATTTGCGTAGTACTTAAAAAACTAAGAAAATTAATTTAGCGTTGGAATCCTGTTAAAATTAATAACATATTCTTTGCAAAAAAATACTCAACTGCTTTACTGTTTTCAGTTAAACATGTTCTGCATTAACAGGACACAAAGACATTAGAAATGTGTTTGAAATGTGCTGCACTTTACTATATAGTGGATCCCATTATAATTAAATTCAGATTTATAAGTTCTAGCAGGTCGCAGTGGCGATGGCATCCTTCTCCAAAGATCTTTAATTGCTTAAAGAAATTAAACATAATCTGTATTCTAAAATGAAGGCCTCACTCCAAAGATCAAGTAAAATGAACACCCTCCCTACTCCATGACTAAAAACGCTTGAGATATGTTTCTATTTTGTACTCTGTCTTTAAATTTTTTCTACCATTTTACAGGTAACCCCAATTACACCCAATAATACCATTTTACAGGTAATTTCTACCATTTTACAGGTTTGTTAGTTTTTTTTTTTTTTTTTTCCTTTTTTCCCCTTTCCGTCTTGCGTTACGTGTGAATTACGCTAATTTTTTTCTTTTCTAAATATATAAACTATACACGAAACCGCGCTTTTCGAATGATTCGACGAGAACTGTATTTCTATAAAATTTCAGAGTTGCGTAAGATAAATAAATAAAGATGCCAAGATAAATAAAAATTTTAAGTAACAAGATAAATAAAAATATTTTGTAAATTTAGGCTGAATTTACAATCAAAACACTTGATTTACGGGTCTAATTAACTTCCTAAAAGTTGACCTTGTAATCCAAGGGCAATTTAGAACAAAACGATCAAAAAAGGTCTGATTTTGATTCTTCTTATCAAGCACTTAACGTCGAAACTGACGTTATATCGAAAGGCTTCATTTTATCTAGAAATGGTTTACGATCCTGATATTTTTTTAATATCTGATATACCTTATTTCTTCGAGTATAATAGCTATGGATAAAATCACATTTTTCCGAGATATAGAATTCAGCTAGAAAATTCTGAAATCTTTAACGTGTTTAATGCAAACTTACCTTGTTTCAAGCTGTAACTAAAATTTTGTCGTCTGCAGTTCAAGGCCAGATGCAGCATGAGACAGTAGTCATGATGTAGAAAATAATGAGATTCAAAATTTTGAAAATTTTAATCTGGTAAAAGGCATGCCTAAAATCAAAAATAGATAATATAAATATTGTCACGCATTTTCTACTTTGAATAAATATAATAATACCTCGTCAAAAATAATCAGCTAGTTACTTATATATAAAAAACCTACCGTTGTAAATTATCTTCTAATTAACTGCTTATTGTTGGCCATTTAAGTTTCAGATGCACTAAAGTTTTAGTATATTCAGGTTACGTAGACTTTATTTTCAGGTTATATGAGATTTATTCTGAGACTGTACAAGATTTTATTTAATGCTTTTAAGATTAAAATTTCACAATGAAAATTTCTGATTCCATAAGTGATTTTTTTAAAATCAATACAGATCAGGAAGAATGAAAATTTAAAAAAAGATGGGGTAATCAGAAACCTGATTAATCTGCTGCCACTTGTATATGACGCACAAGCTCTGTCAAGCAATTTTTTGTTTAAAAATAAAATGTTACGGTGTTTCAGTCTCATGGCACAATGGTAAGTACGTTTGCAGAAATCTCTAAATACATAACCCCCTCCCTTCCACCATATTTAGTAATTCTCCGACTTGCCTCGACTTAGTATCATCCCGACTTACGTCGTCCATAATAAATTGTAAGAAAAGGGATTTTTTGCGTATAGTCTCGCTCGAAGAGAATTTTTTATGCGGATCAGGTGCAGATCCCCGTGTCCTACGGTTTTCTGTAATTATAGTATAAGGTGTTTTCTCCTTCCTTTTCTGCATGCCTTCGTGGTGTAACGGTAGCACACACTCGGCGCGTATTCGGGAGGTTCCGGTTCGAGTACCCGCAAGGACATTGCTCATTTTTCATGTTTCCTATTTCAAAAATCCTAATGACTTTACCAAAGCTTTCACGAAGATACTCTGGAATCTGCCCATTATGAGCGGGAAGGGGGGCTATGTCGCTTTTTAAATTATACGAAACATCAAATATCAGTTAAATTAGGATGAAAATCTCTGAAAATATTGATTCGAATAAGCAACAAACAGGAAGCTGGTCTATAAGAAAATATCATAAATTTGCTTTGGGATATTTGCTGCATATTTATTTTACTCCTGACATATTTGCTACTCGAATTTTCACTTGCTTGTTATTTATTTCGTGATCCGCTTCTAGATAATTCTGTATTTTTATAGCATCACTTTATCAATACCAAACTCTTATTTTCAATAAGGTTTTTTTCACTTATTCCAATTTTAACCTTTGCACGCAGTCTGCCCTATTTCAAAACTTCATTATCGAATATTTATACTAGCTGATTTCAAAAGAGCAATTAAACGTTTTCTTTACAGATAACACATTTTTAAGCAACCTTTGCTGTTTTATTCTTTGCATTTCGTGACCCTCCGTTTAGCTTAAAAACAGATAAATGCAGTTCGAAAATTTTGAGCTCTTTTTTAATTGTCAGTTTCTATTATCTGCCAGCTTGAGTCAGTCCGATGAACAGAATAAATCCGCCAAAATATACACAAATAAACAAATAACATATAAATAAAGAAAGAAAGAAAATCTAAAAGGTTTCAGATTTAAAATTACGTCCGTTTTTTTAACGTTTTGTGTGTTACCTTTATTTATTAAATATCATGTTCTTCGCACTTAAACCATAAATTTCAGTTCAATAGCAATGTCGCAAAATAATTTTAAAATAAGCCTATCTTTAGAATTTCCGATACACAGTTCCGCGCGCTGGAAATAAAAAGGTTTTTTTCCCCACCTAGATTCTGCCATTGCTCGCTTTTAAATCGTTGAGTTTGTTACTCAAGAATTTGTTAAAGTTTTACAAAATATGAAATTGAAAATAAAACAAATTCCAATGCGAGAAATATACCTACATTTATGCAGATTTTTCATTATTTAATTTCTTCAAATATAATGCTGGACTCTAACATTTGGTGGCAACAGTTTGAAAAGTGAAACGAACATTTATAGTGATTGAACGCAAAATCGCAAAACGAAAAGAATAGTTTTTCAGGGAGAAAGCCCCTTTGGACTAATAAATAACGGCTTATTTGACAAATGAACGTTAATTTATAGTTAGTTAAAGATCTCTTCGCCCGATCGGATGTACTGTAAATGCCCCGTCAGCGTAATATAACAGCTGTCAAAAATTTTTAAAAATTTGCTGTCAACATTTCAAGTATCAAAATATCAAATTTTGAGTAAGTTGTCCTCCACTAAATTATGGGTATCTGGAAGCCCGAACTTCGAATTTGGAATTTGTTTTATTATCTATTTCGTATTTTGTGAAACTTTAACGAATTTTCGATTAAGAAACTCAACGATTTCAAAGCGAGCGATGGCAACACTGCACGTGTGTGTGTGTGGGGGGGGGGAACATTTATATTTCCATCGCGCGAAACTGTGTAACGGAAATTCTAAAGATAGGCTCATTTTAAAATTATTTTGCGACGTTGCTGTCAGATTGAATTTTATGGTTTAAATGCGAAGAACATGATATTTAATAAATAAAGGTAACACGCAAAGCATTAAAAAACATTTAAAAAAAATGCGCTTGTGGGCGTAATATAAAATCTGTATTATTATTGTTATGAAATATAACCCTCGTTATTTTTAGCTTCTTTCGAGGGTCCGATTAATTAAGTTAGAATAATACGAAGAAATAAGTTTAAATGAAGTGGACCCAAACATGTTATAAGGTATTCTCCCGCCTTCTTAGCGTGCCTTCGCGGTGTAGTGGTCTGCACGTTGCGTTGGGCAGAGGTCCGTAGTTCGATTCCTAACAAAGGCGTTGCTCTTTTTTCATCTCTCCTGCTTCGAAATTCCTAATGTCTCTACAATGTGTATAATTTAATAAGACGTACAAGGGAGTCACGTGTTGACCACATCATTTTTTTTTTTTTTTTAATTTCTTCTCTTATTAACTGTGATTTTGAATAAACTGCGGACGTCACTTCCGGAAGTACCTTGTTTGATCTGCAGTTGACTGTATTTCTTTCAGCTCGTAATTTAAAATTCAAAGTAAATTTTTCGTCAATCTAATCATCTTCTATAGCGTCTTTCTTAACCGTTGCTAACATCCAATTTAAACACATTATTTTCTCTTTTTCGACTTTTTTATATACCCTCGTGACGGTTTATACAGAAATAAACAAAAAGTGGAGATCAGAAAGCCAGAACCAAAGCTTCCGCGAAAATTTCATTGAAAACGAGCCCCCAATGAAATAAAAGCGGAGGGAAACTCAGTTGCGTGAAAGGGTCACGTGGTCTGAAATCGGAGCAAGTGCTGCCATTCAAACGAAGGTGAACTGTGCGTTTATTTCCGAACTTGTAAACACTGAACGCGGCGGAATGGTGCTTCACAAAAGCACTGCTCTTTAATATAATGGGTAACCGTATTGCAAGCGACTGGAGTAGCGATGCTTTGATCAATTTGAGCTAATATTGACTCTCCGATGTTCATGCCCGTCTGAACCCGTTGAAAGGCCGACTAAACAGACGACGATTGAACTTCTCGCGCCCTACAACTCAACTCAATTCGACGGTCTTGTTTGAAAGGAACGTGTCGAATAATGGTGAATTCCCCGAGAGAATTTATCCATCGGCGACGATGTTTGACATGTTGTTATTGCTTGCTCTGCCGTGGATGGCTCCGAAATCGAAGATTTTATTCCTTAACGCTCCGCTGCTATAGACTTTCTCCACAAAGGCAGGCGCGTATGATTTCGTTTGCTGATCGGTGTAGCTTTCCTATTCGCTCTTCTGCGATGAAATTCGCGGCTCTATATTTATCTCTGCCCCCCTCCCTTTCTGCTGCAATTCTTTCCACTCTTCTTTCCTTTCATCAAGCAGCACCTTTCGCAACGAGGAAAAATTTTCTGATTTAGCGCTCGGCTTCGTATTTGCATAGCGTCGTCATCTCTTCTATGGTTGGCGTATGTTATTCAAGTCCTTTTAAAAATCAGTTCCACACTTTCTAAATTCTGTTAAATCTCTCTTGAATGCCTCACTCCCATAAATGTGGTATTTGCACTGTAAAACTTCAGTCAGAGATTCGAAATAGGGGGTCTACTAAGGTTGACCATTGCCCTATGGGATGGATTTTTATTATTATTATTATTATATTATTATTATTATTATTATTATCGACGTAAGAGTTATATGGAAATGTTCTTGGATCTAACACAGTTCCCAAGTATTAACTTTGTAAGGTTTATCCCAAGTTTCTAGCAGTTAATCTTAGTTAAAGCTACTTCCCTGTCCATCCTAATTTCAGCTTACAATTTCCTACCAGAATGTGTTTTTAGAATCGCGTTTAATGCAAATGAGTAAGAGTGGTATTTAAGTGGAATTTCCACTGACTGAGATAGACAGCTTCAGAGTTTCTGACTAGCGTGCGTCCGTCTTTTGGCAACATCTCTCTCTAAGCTGTTACTACGCTCGGCCGTATTACAAGCCTTTGATAGCTTCGTTTATTCCATATTTAGGGGCCAACTACTTAGAAATTTGATAGCTTCGTCTACATACTTTTAGTTAAGCATTAGTTAAGTCTTAGAAAATACTTTATACATATTAAATTAAAACTAATTAAACCTGAAACTCCGTAAACAGAGATAATGCGATAATTATTTATAATATCATTAAATTATAATAAAGGAATGAATTCTGCATTAAAGACCTCAGTATAATTTATTCTTAGTAATTTTTTTACTAACGAGTACATCTGGAAGGAGAATCAGAGTTCAAATCAGCGTGGTTAAAACCGCTGAACACTGGCAGTTTGACCCGAAATTTAATCCCAACGAATGGGCGGCTGCATGGATGTTTTCCTGATTTTCTTCCTCTGTAGCTTGAATGCGATTCAGTTTTTATATATCAGGCGAGTTTCTTATATATAACTTTCAGAATTCAAGTAGACTGCTGTGACTTTCAGAATACCATTTCGACATTATTTTAATTTCATACGACTCCTTCTAACAGATTTTCGCAACAGAATGTACAGATAATCGAATTTTGAAGAATCCCATAATGCATCTCGCAGTTAG